TTTTGAGGATTTTTGCGATTCGCCTGAGATATAATTTTCCTTGTTGGGCCACAACAAGACTTACCAATCTTTAACATCTATAATAAGTACATAATATTGAAAAAAGAGGTTGTGCGCTACAAACTACCTAAATTTGAACCTTATATCATTGCTCATGGTGTTATCACGGTCCAAAATCGCAAATGTATGCTGCCGGCGCACCGCCAATGATCTTGCGCGCTGTTATCAGCCATTTAAACAGACAGAATGAAACAGTTACAAACCAAACTTTCATCAATCTAATCTCATGAATCTCGCCTACATATAGGAATCAACGAACTACAGATTTCCTTTATGCTTGTGGTGTTTTTGGAGCCAAAGAGGGATTGTACTTTTTCCGCCCCTGTAGATGGAGAGCAACTTTTGAAAGGATGGTATGTTATTGTTCCGTTATTGTTCTTGTTATTGTTATTGTTATTGTTCTTCTGTCTTCCCTAGCGATAAGTGCTGTTACATACAAGAATAGATGGCTGTAAAGAGTAAGACTATTCGCTGGAGACAGATTTGAAAACGGCGTTTGTTGCTCTCCGGGTAGCACACCTTATTCATGTAGGCTACTCTGACTGCTCCATTTATTCCTCATTATCGACAGTATCACACTACCTGAAGCAGTTCCGGGGCATCAAACAACACTGATCGCAGAATCCAGAATGGGTAGTAGATAAGGCGAGTGAAAGTCCACACAGCAAAGAAAATCAAAAATATGATATCCCTCGCTTTCAGCCACATTGCGTAGCGCGCCATCCTCATCGCTTCTCTGCATTGTTTTCGCTTAATGGAGTTAGGTCAAAAGTACAGAAATACTGCTAAAAAACTGACAGCAAAATATCCGCAGTATCATGAGTGAAAAGTATCAGCGTACCAACGCGGACCATATTCACGGACCAGCTTATATAAAGTAACACTATCGCGATTATGTGATGCACCAACATTTGCAGGGAGTCTGCCCGACGGACATCGATACAAAGTGTACTGAATAAATTATTCTTGAAATGAATCAGTAGGTATTAGGTTGATGCACAATTATAGCAGCAAAAATAGAAAAATCATTCAAAAATGCATAGACAATTCAATCAATGTACACGATATGCTCTTTGCTATGTACCTCAAAAGTATTAGTGTTTTATAAGTGCATTTTGAAAAATCAATCTGAGACAGAATTCAATTCGATTAAAATATCAAAATTCATAGGTATTCCTAAAGACATCCAGTCACTACTAGCTTCTCTTAGTTGAAAAGAGTAGGTCATGAAAACGATTCAGGTCAAGCAAATTCTGAAAGCGCAAGATTTTCTCTCACTATCATCTACCAAATCAGATGATTTCAATGAAGTTGGAGAAAGCAGCGGAATTTCAAAAATTTTGGTGCAAGAATCATGCATCAACTAACAGAATAAAATACCTCACCCAATGAACAATGCCCAGTAAAAAGAGGCTTCCAACATATAATACCACCAAACAGCAGTCGTTATGTTATGATGAGGCCAACCTCGCCAGCATTCAGTGACGTCCATCAACTGCGGCTCCCTCATCAGGATGACCAAACTAAAAACATTAATTGGTTGCTGGTGGAGGACTACATGCCGCCGAAAGGTGATGCCACGCGGACATCTGCAAAAGACCACGCAGCCATGCATAGTACAGATAATACAAATTTGTACCAGCCTTCCGCAGGAGTGGAGGCTTTCGGCGACATGTAGCCCCTACCTATTAGTTGCAACTAAATGAAAAAACTTGCCCTGCTATCCAAGCGCAAACGTAAAAGCATAGACGCCAAGCACACGCAGCAACCCTTTTGAACTTACTATTTTCGGCAAATCCACCTTAGATACAGATTCTACTGCCGAATGAACTTTGATGTGGCACTTTTACCAAAAAGATGAGACAGTATCTGAGGTAGAAGAGGAGAAGAGATCCAACCGCCTATCCAGCCGACAGGCAGGAAGACAAGGGACTCCAAAAGTACTCGTATTACCTGATAATTAATCTGTCAAAATGGGTCTCGCACACTGAGTGATACTCACCAGCAAAGCGAAACCAAAGACTATAGTGTACCGGAGGTCGGTTACTTGCGGATAACTAATATTTGTACTCGCCATATCACTCCATGATGTGTTTTCTCCCAACCAGATGTACTCATCCCAAAAATCCCACATCGCAGATCTATAAACTCTCTTGGTTTATGGCTTTTTACAGATGACGAGGGACTAATTGGCAGCATTCGACAAGGTTGTATATTAGTAAGATCAAAAAACTGACAAGAATGAGATAAGGAATGTACACAATTAGCAGACAAGATTTGCGTATTAGCTAGTCGTTCGTTCGTTTCTTGAAACAGCATCTTGTCCTTGTATAACTGCAG